AGTCTCTAATGGTGTAGATTCATCTGGATCACTCTTGCTATCTGTCTGTCCGTCTCTCTCTCTCTCTCGATCACTCGCGCTGCCTCTCTCTCTATCTCTCTCTCTCTCGATCACTCTCGCTCTCTCTCTCTCTCTATCCCTCTCTTTCTCTCTCTCGCTCTCCAGTCCCACCAACCACTAGCCCTTGGAGGTCGATCTCACTGTTCAGCCAACACGAGAAGCACTCTTGAGATGTGGGACCATCTGTAGAATTCACGATAGCATCATCTGAAGTGTTCTAGGCGCCTACAGCATCCATCACGGCACTCGCCCGCGCAAGGCTCGCATCGAAACGGAAATCGGTTCACAGCGTACGTCATATTCCTGAAAAAAACGTTCCAAATTGCTATGGCTCGGCCAGCCGTATGAACGAGAAAATATTGTCGGTTCAGGCTTTTCCTGATTTCTTTCCATTTTGAAGGGAGCGTGACAATGAAGCTACAGGGTTTCTTCCGGATCTGAGAAATTCCTACGGGCACTGGTAGTAGCACTGAACATGGTCTTTCCAGCGATCCGGGCGATAGTTGTAGAGGCCACTTCTGCATTTTTTGCAGCCATTCCTGGAAAATCGAATTGCGATAAGTCAACTCCATGGGCTGAAAAAGCTAAACTGCAAAGCTAGGAGCTGGTCATCTAGTGGAAGCTAAGAGTTCGGAGCTGATACAGATTTCTGTGATCAGCGAGCTTAAGGCTATGAACTAGGAACGGGAGCTGGGGAGCCAGGTTGAGCTGAGCAGCAAGATCGGCTCGTGTAAAACCCAAGCTCCAGCTCCTATCTCAAGTTTCAAAACCCAGCACTAAACTGCAACCTTACAAGTCAAAGTCTGTAGTAAAACTCACTTATCGCACTCGCGACACCACCTTGGGCACTTGGCGCATTTTGATCGGTCGCGTCGTAGTAGAAGCCGCTAAAATCGTTTAAAAATATGGCAAATTTTTTCCGCAATTGTTGCAAAGCTTGGTGCACTTCTGCCGGCGACGCGTCCGGCTCAGGAAGTAGCCGACGTCACACCGCTCGCAGTTGAATTTCTGCTAAAAATGTTCCAAAAAGTGGCATTTGCCAATCTTTGTCTCCAGCGGTCACCACAGCTCCACACACATGGCGCAGTTTGGCAGGAATTTGTCACATCCTCAGGCACCGTACCCGGAAAGCATGGTGCCCTAAAAATGTGATACTTTCAGCTCGAAGCTCGGAGCTCCTGCCCCATTTCTTGCCCAGATGCACACCCGACACTCCCTTAGAACGTAGCCGCACAACACGTTGTTATAGTAGGGAAAGAAGCCCTGTCGACATCGGAAACATTCCTAATGTCGCGAGCTTTTGCGTCGGGGTTAAAAGCTTACTCCTTGGACCGCGCAGAGCTGACAGTTGATCGCACACATGATGCATTGCGTCCCGTCTGCGTTACGGGCTGTTCCCCTGAAAAGTATCTTTATCTCTCTGTCTCTCTCTCACTCTGCTCTTTCTCTCTCTTTCTCTCTCTCGCTCTAATCTAAAAATTCTACCATGGGCAATATCCCTGTCGTGGCACCATTTGCAGTTCCTTCAAATCTGCATAGTTCCGGGGCAGCAACAGATCTTTCGAAATTCCTCGACTTTGGCTTGCAAGAGGGTTGTCGAGGGCTGAATTTAGGCAATTTTAGGGCGGAACACAAGACAAAAGCTTGTATCACGCGTAGATGTCGAGTCCTAGTCTATCACGAAGATAAATCCACACTCATTTAATAAGCTCGTCAATACCTTGTCAACGGATCGTCAACAGCAATGTTGACGTAGCCGAGCGGGCAGTAGAGACAACGATCCGACTCTTGTTCCAGGCCCTCTCGAGACGACAATACAAACTATACAAAACCACTCTAAACTACACCAAGCTACATTAAATGACAAACTACCTATTCTCCGCCCAGATATCAGACAGTGACGATCGTGCCATTCAAAGTCAACCTAAAATCATGAAGTTTATTTTCGACAAAAATACCGTCGCGTCTTTCTCGGGATAATTCTTGAACGGGTTCCAGCACTTGTAGATGATCTCCACCAATTTATCCGGGCTTTTTTGGAGGATTGTTTTCGTGTAGGCGAACTTCATGACCGGGAACTCGTTGAAACTAAGTAAATCAAAAGTTAGAATTAGGTTCCTACTCGCTGCTGTAGATGTTGTCGACGTTCTGCCGGAGCACGATACCAGTCCGCCAGTTTCGGAACTGGAAATTGGAGTTAAGAGAGAGAGAGAGAGAGAGAGAGAGAGAGAGAGAGAGAAAGAGAGAGAGATAGAGAGAGAGAGAGTGAGAGAGGGAAATAGCAAGAGAGAGCGAGAAAGAGAGAGAAAAAGAGAGAGAGATTTCGAGATCAATCTACCCACAGCGGATATTTAAAGTCGGACACCTTGCCATAGTACGTCAAATTGAAGGGATGGTAGTCCTGAAGCGAAGGCTGGGAAAACCGATGATTTTTCGTACTAAAACTTCCAGAGCAGCAACGTCAAGGAATGGATGGTAGAACAGCAGAATCAAACCGGCTCCAAGTCGACCGCCCATCCATCAACCGGGCAGGGCAAGTTATGAGATTTTTGCCACCAGGTAACCAAATTACGAGCTTGAAATGCGGATTCAAAAATCGCTCTCGTTTTTGGGACTCAAACTCCAGCCGGTGCTCTGCTTCTACTGGGTGCTCTTGGCTATCTTTCGTGTGCGAGCTCTCTCTCTCTCTCTCTCTCTCCTCTCTCTTTCTCTTTCTCTCGCGAGTGTAGTCGATGTCGAAAGCTAATCGAACAGGCAGGCAAAACACATTTATCGAGCGGGGTAAATATTTCGGTTGAACGGTAATTGAAACGGTTGTTGATTTATAAGGATTTAAAGAGGTCGATCGGGATGGCGTCGACGAGTAGAGTCGAGGACCATCGAGTCGATCACCACTCGGTTCGATCCGGAGATCCATCGGGAGTCGGTGGAGGATTTTCGGCTTCATCGATTCGGGCTGCCTGAAAAATCGGGAGCATAAGAGAGAGAGAGAAAGAGAGAGAGAGAGAGAGAGAGAGAGAGAGAAAGAGAGCGAGAGCGAGCGAGAGGGAAAGTAGGAACATCGAAAGCTAGCAAGAACGCGCCTCTTCAAAAAAAAGTACCATCGTATTCTCCGTGGTCGACGTCGTGCTCTTTGCCCTTGAACGCCTGGCAGCTGCTTTGTCCAGCTTTTCCTCATGCTCCCGAGGCACCTAAAAGAGTAGATTAAAGTTCAATACGCTTACCATCGTATTCTCCCCGGTCGACGTCGTGCTCTTCAGGCGTGAGTGTGAGCGCCTCGTGGTGGAACTCTGATTTGACGAGCGGTCGGGGCATTTGAACGTTAGCTGAAAACTCGTCCTCAGTAAGGCACCTCTAGGTTACGATTTTCAGTGAAAAACCAACGATCGTACTCTCGGCCGTCGACGTCGTGCTCCGGACATGTGAGCGCGAGGTCGACTTGGTTTTCTTTGGCACTCTGCTCGACAAGCTGGCAGGAGCCAAAGGATTCGATAGATTTACGTGATAAAAAACTGACGATTGTATTCTCAGCCGTCGTGGTCGTGCTCTCGTAAGGCAGCGAGTAGTTTGGCTTGTCGGGCTTGTTCGGCGGGACCTGAAGAAGTTCAGCTTTACGGAAAATAGGTTCATACCGTCTCCTCTGTCGTTAGACTCTCAGCGGGTACCGGCGCGGCAACTTCAAACTGTTCACGGGTAAGGGTTGGGATGTCTCGAGTCCCCGTGCCGGTGGTCGGCGTCTCGTAGGTGAACGACTGGGCTTCATCAGTAGCCACTCGGCTCTCTTGCGTTGTTGCTGTCTCGACTGGAATATGGGACTGGCTCGACTGGCAAAAATTCAATGAAAATGCAAGAAACTTCCAAAAAATAGCAAAAAGGCTTACTAAGTAGTCTCAATTCAATAATCCCTACAAGTCGGCCTTGTGGCAGTCACGTAAGTCGGACGAGTGCTGATCGTCTTCTTTAGCCTCATGTTTAACCGAGCCCGATGGTGAAGCTGAAAATCCAAAGTTAAGCAAGCTCACGAAGGCTGCAAGAAGGAAGGAACACAGGCTAGTTCAATTTGTCAGAAATTTTTGCGAGAAACCCCCACATTTGGCCGGATGATGACGCGAGCCGAGTTGTAGCCGAACGCCCGAGGGTGGGCCGAGCTGGAGGTCGAGCCTGAAAAAGGAAGTTGACTCCAACTCAAGCCAAACTACGCCAAGCCAAGCCAAGCCAAGCCAAACCTATTGACGCCAAAAAAACCCACTGGTCACCCTCAAAAGCCCAAGCACCGACGTCAGCAACGCGCGATTCCGGGAGCTGCTGCTCTTGCTCCTCGTCTTCCTCAGGTACACCCAGAGCTCGAGCTCAGCCCACGCGGCCTCGCGGATCACTCTGAAAAAAGCAATGCGACAGAATTGCGTGTATCCATTACTCTTCATAGCGCCAGCACAACAGCTCGGCGTCGTCGATCTCGCCGGTGAAACGGGCTCTAGAAAATCATTCTTATTTTAGCTAAAAAACAAATAAGTTACCGTAGACACCCAAGAACTGAATGCCCAGGTAGATGCAGAGGAGGATCGGGACGCCAAGTTGGATCCATTTGTTGAAATCGTAGACGGTGCCGACGAATCCACCGTGTTGGGTGAGGCTTGGCTGAAAAAAAAAACAGAGTTATGCTCACACAAAAACAGAGAAGGTAGGCGTAAAAACCAAGCTGTTTTTCATCCATGAGCGGTCAAAACGCTCACCGGTTTCCGATATCCAGGCCCCGCGTACGTGCAGACCTTGTAGCCCGGAATTGGCTCTTCCACGTAGTGATTCTCAGCGCAGAATTTGACGCACCGCTGAAAATTAACTTGTACATCTTTTTTATAAAGTTTCCGTTAGATATTCAAATTCTGACCCCCTTCGGATCCCGAAAATTGCGGCATTTGATGCACTGGTCGACCGAGTCGCCGACACAACCGATACATTCTGGGTGGCAGGGGCGGCAGTAGCCAAGTTGGTCTTCGTACGTGGTCCTAAAAACGTCTATTTTTCTGTCTCTGTCTCTGTCTCTCGCTCTCCCTCGCTCTCCCTCTCTCTCTCTCTCTCTCTCTCTCTCTCTCTCTCTCCCTCTCGCTCGCTCTCGCTCCACCCACTCCAAATGACAGCTGAAGCCGTGCATGTTGTTCTGCAACTCGTAGCACTCTTGTCGAAGATCTTCTAAAAATGCCAGGAGCCTCTAAAACGTATAAACTTAAGCTACCCTCCTCCGAAAGATCCGACTGCCAGTACATCGGCGACTGGGCGAGCAGCGCATAGTGCTTGATGCCCATCCGGCTGTAGAACGCCAGCATTTTCGATTTCTGAAAAATTCCAAAGTTCAGGAGTCAGCCATCATCATTTCTCACCCATCTGCACTTGTTGCACTTGAGCGGCTCGTCGCAGATGACGCAGCGTTGGAGGAGATCATCGCGAAAGGTCCCACTAAAGGTTCGAAAGTGCGGATAAGTACAGAGGGGTACTCCTTGCACTCGTCGACACAGTTTCCCCAGAGGTCCTTCACGTAGCCGGGATGGCATTTGGGGCATGGCTGAAAATGTCCTGTTGCTTCGAGTGGACTTTCCGCGCCGCGACACGCAACGCACACACATTTAGGTTCGCGTAAAAACTGCTAATTTTTTAGAATTTTCCAAAAAAATTTGTAATGGCTTTCTGGCACTAAAAAACTTCTAAAAACACTGTAAAATATGTTTTGTAGATCCTCAAAACGTATAGCCCCCGCTAACAGTCCAGCACCAAAGACCAAAAACACTCACATGAAAGAACGTCTCGGGATAGTTCGTGTTTGGATGCGGCCTTAGGCAGTTGTCCAGACAAGTGCTTGCATTACACCACGGCGCGTACTTCTCGGTCAGGCTGAAGATGATCTCAAAGTTAGGACGCTTGCAACCCACTTTTTGTCCCTGTAGTACTCCTGCGCCTCCGTCCAGCTGTTGAACTCGCTGCTGAGGATGCCAATCTCTGGCCGACGCCGAACGACTTGATCTTCACGGGCGTCGCTTCCAGGCTCATCTACAACAAATATTTATTTTTTTACTCAAAAATTCTCAATTCGCGGACCAAATTGCAGAACCCCTCCCCCGAGAATGCCAAAGAAGCTGGCGATCGAAATGTGGCCTCAAATTCAGTACTGACCGCTTCATATGGACCCATAAGATGGACGAACTCGGAGCTAAAGCTCAGCGACAATAAGGTGAGCTGAATGGCGCTCAGTGGGAAGCACTTGGGCTGAAACAGCAGCAAAATTCTGCAGTTTCAGAACAAAATATTACAATTAGCCCCTTGTGGTTGACCGCGCCGTTTAGCCAGCACATGAAGCACTCTTGGCGGGAGGGGCCATCTGGAGAAAAAACTTGAGGTGCGTTTTTGGATCCTACAACATCCGCTACGACACTCTGGCGCACACGGCTCGCACCGGAACGGGAAACGGTTGACCGGGTACGTCCAGTGGCTAAGAAAGGTATTTTAAAAGAGTTTTGCACCTTTTGCGGATTTTTAAGATTTAATCTTTTTTCAGATTTTGTTTGTTCTTGCCAAAACTATTCTATTTTAGATTCTGTTGGAGCTAAAATTAATACTTGTCGCTCTATGCCAGATCGAAGTTGTGTTCAAAATCGCTCTAAAGATGTGTTGTGTTTTTTTAATTTACAGCGGCAGCATTTGCCAATGAATGTAAAATTTGTATAAATTTGCGGCGCAAGAATGCTAATAGTGTTTTTGTTAAAATTTCGCGGAATTTCAAGTGGAAAAACGTTAAAATTTTTGAAAAACTCTTAACAGTTTTCACATAATTTGTAATTATTTTCCACAATATGTTACAAAAATCCTAAAAAAGAAACCTAAGAAAAGTTCTTTTTCCCGAGAGTACAATTGAATCGGTACAATTCGGATAAGCGGGGGAAAAATTTTAGGCGGGGGAAACCAACTTTTTTCCTGTCGGCCCTGGTGGGAATAGTAATCAAATATAAAGTGTTTTCACATTGTTTTTAGCAAAATTTAAGCCTATTTGAATCGGAAAAACTTTTTTAAAAAGTGAGAAAAACGCTTGAAAAAGTCGAAAATTTGGTCATTTTTGGGCCGAAAAAATTATTTTTCAACATAAAATTAAATTCTTTAATTAAGTTTTATAAAGTTATTATGTTTAGGAATAGCTATAAACAATTTAGAAACACTTCCACTATTTATATAAAAAATATAGGCTTGGGCGGAAAGTTTCGGTTTCCCCCGCCCTAAAATTTTCCCCCGCTTATCCGAATTGTACCATTGAATCTCCTTTCTGATGCTCAGAACCGCCTAAAAACAAAATTCCCTACGGGCAGTGGTAGTAGCAGGTGACGTGGTGCGAAGGGTGGGCCATGCGTAAATTATAAAGACCACTTGCGCATTTCCGGCAACCATTCCTGAAAAAGAGGTCGGTGAATCCGATCTCCAAAACCTACATGTCACACTCCGCGGCACCACCCCGGACATTTTTTGCAGATCCCGGCGGCAGTGTTGAAGTAGAAGCCTCTGAAAACTTCGAAAAATCATCTAAAAATTCAGCCGTACATGTTGCAAGCTTGGTGCACTTCTGCCGGCGGTGCGTCCGGCTCAGAAAGTAGCCGGGCCGACACTCTTGGCACGCGAATTCTTGCTGGAAGTGGCAGGAAGTAGAACATTTGTGACGAGCAGTTGAACCTTCTTTTGCCCGATTTGGGTCACGCCGCAATGGACGCAGTTGCGCAGGAATGTTGAGCATTTGATGCATCGGATCCCGTAGAGCATCGAATCACTAGAAAAAGAGGAATCTAAAGTACAGTATAATTTGCCCGCAGCGCTGACCGCGCGTGCCAGGGGAACGCGGCGCGGCCGCAACGCAGACCCAAACCGGCCAAAGACAATACTCGGAAACCGAAACGCGACTGCTAAGCGGCCGCCACGCACGGCGAGGCCTAGCAAGAAGAATTTAAGAACGCGCAACGCGACTGAAGCTCGACCACGACGCAACAAAAAGCGAAAACGCATCCGAGAAATGCCAAGAAATCAAGCGCTATTGGGAATCTGACCGCCACGCGAGCGCGACGCAGCTGGTAAAAGACAAAACTCAGAAAGACGGTCTCGACTGCTACGCGATCGCAACGCGACCGCAACGCGGCTCGTCAGAGGCAAAACTAAGAAATCCGCACCTTGGGCAGTGGTGAATCTGAAGCGGAAATGGAGCACTGATGCACGCGGGAATTGTCGTAGGTCGGCTGGTAGTCCTGTCGGCATCGGATGCATTCCTTGAACGATTGATTTATGCGCTGATTGAGCCAAAAATGAAAGTGCTTATGGAGTATTTGCGGTAACAAAATATATTTCCGTTCACTTACCCCTTAACGGCACACAGCTGGCAATTTACCGGGCAGCCGATGCATCTGGTTGGCTCGGTCACATCACGCGTCGTACCGCTGAAAAGGTGACATTTTTAGACAAATGGAACAAACGAATTAGGCCACGAGGAACTCTAAAAATTCCAAAAACTGAAAGTTTGCCAAAGAAACACGCTAAACAGCATCTTTCGCCCCCATACCTAAGCTTGTTTTCTCCACTCCCTGACGTCCTAGAGCTTCGTAAAGTATGCAAAAGATTGCCTTAGACCGTAGAAAAGAAAACATTCAAATTAGTTCAAAAACTAACGGTAGATAAGAAATTGAGGCAAGAAACTCGAAATTTTGGCGGATGCGAGAAGCGGATAAACCAGGCTTTGGCCAATTTTATTAGCATTTTGATAAATTTCAAGTTACTTGGCGTACCGAATTTACGCTAAATGCGCTAGGAACACGTAAATGCTGCTTAAGTAATTAACAATTGAGGCCTACCTAGGACAATACCCCTCGCGCGGCACCAACTCGATCATCTGCAGCTCGGGATAGTTCCAGGACGGCTGGGTGATTTTCTTGACAAATCCCGGTATCGGCCGGCAGGAAGAGTCTCGTGGCCTGAAAGTTTCAAGGTAACAAAATCCATATCCCGCTACATCATCGGTTCTTCACCAATGGCAATGTTTTCGTAACCAAGCGGGCAGTCCAGGCATCGGTCCATCGCGTTTTCGAGGTGCTCTGTGGGAAATTGGTTCAATTTAAAAGCAAAAGAATACTTGAAACCAGGCAATGTCGGTCTTGCCATTCGAAATCGACCTAAAGGAATGGCTTTCAACGTTTTCTAGGCTGTTTCAAACCGTCTGCGAGCCGTTCTGAACAGGTCCCAACACTTGTAGATGAAGTCCACCCGCGTTTCGTCTTGAGAATACGCCAGCTTCATGACGGGGAACTCGGTGATGCTAGAAAAATATGAATAAAAAATTTACATAATTTCTACTCCAAGTTGTAGAAGTCGTCGACGTTTTGCCCGAAGCACGGTACCAGGCCGCCAGTTTCGGTGCTAAAAATTGAAGTTGGAGGAGAGAGCGAGAGAGAGAGAGAG